CATACGTTTATACAGTGTGTGTGCGTCAGAGCTCGGGCAGAGAAATTTCCTATGCCCTCGGGATAGGGCCGTGCCGACCACTAGACTGCACATACCAAGTCAATCTTTAATATATTTCTAAATATATTTATTTAAACACTTTAAAAGTTTTAATTGACTAAGTTTAACCATGTATGGTTTCCGATCCAAGAATTGTTGTCATTGTCGAGATTTTCCTGAACCTGGCAGCCCAACTTATTTTAATTATATGATGCAAATTCTTTTTATAAGATATATCATAACATAACATGTATATCCTGTATCAATGATCCTGTCAGATGGCTTATAAGCTGCCCACAAGATGGTTTCAAAATAAATATGGATATAATCGACTGCCATTTACGTTTCTGAACGACTTGCCTTCGATTTCCATTAAAATTATCATTTCCATGGCCATTTTCCATTTCCATTTCCATTTCATTGTCATTTTGCATTTTCATTTCAATTACTTTTGTATTTTGCTTTATTTGTGTTAATTGCAATGCAATCTGCCCGCATATGTTCGTTTTTCCGAATTTTCTGCGGTTTTTCTTTTCGTGCCCCTCATCGGAAATATTTTGCGGCTGGACTTTTCCCGTTTTCCTTTTCCCTTTTCATTGTTGTTGTTTTAGGTCTTTCAGGGCTGTAATTGCTGCCTGTTGTCATTCTTGTTTCTCTTGTTGTTTTTGGTTTTTTTACCGTGCCTTTGTTGTTGTAGAGGTCACATCGAACGTCAAAATGCGTCGCTGGCAACGTTAATTTCGTTTACCTATAAACATGTAACATATGCGCCGGGCTGGTGGGCGGACAAAGGCTGCAGCTTGCAACCCTAATAAACCGACGCTGAGCGTCTAGGGGGAGGGGGCGGACTGCCTGCCACACGTGCCCGCCGCTGATAAGAGAGTCCCTGCCCGTCCTTTCCCGCCCCTTCCCGGTTTTCCTTTTGGCTTTTGTGTTTCTGAGTTGGCCCAACTGTGTAAAGTGTGCGAGTGTGTGTGTACTGTGATTTATGCACTAAGCAAACCCAAAGGTCCTGCCATCCTGCATCTTATCTTCCACTCCCCTCGCTCTGCTCTGATGGCCAAAAAATGGCTGTGTTGTGGCACGTCATGGTCACGAAGGACACTTTCATTTAGTGCAAGACGCACGTTGCAACATTGAATGAAGTTGGAGCCGCGGCTCAATAAGAGATTCATTCCCATATGCAAACGACTTCTTGTATTAAAGTTAAATTTACAAAGAAATAAATAAGTTTTGAAACTTCTTTATGGGCTTAATTAATGTCTCAATTAAAATTTATTATTAGTAATAAATACTCAGTATTAAAAGTCACTCGTATTATCATTTTCAAGAAATTTAAATAGCAATGTTCGACTTTCTAAAGGTATATCTTTATGAAATATTTTAAAAGCCCTTAACAAAAAAACTCTGTTCCAAATTATAATCCTTTTTGGGAACACCTTACGAAAATACAAATACATATATATTCCTTTTAGGAATCTAGCCGGAATATTTGTGATAAAATATTGCTTGAAATCTGCAATATATATCACTGCAATTAAAAATCTTTATTCTAACAAAACTACAAGCTAATAATATATAAATATTGAATAAAATATTAAAAAATAATGTTAAGGATACAATAGATTAAAAGATCTAATGGATTTAAGGTATGTTCGATACTACGTACTCTTTTAACAAGTACAATAAAAAACAAGAAAGGAAAGCTAACTTCGGGCGGAGCCGAAGTGTATATACCCTTGCAGTTAAAACCGGATATATATCGCAAACATCGGATATAGTTGGCCGCTCCTTATGGGATAATGAATATATATTCCAATTTATTACTATACAAAATCTAAAAAAAGTCCCAAACTTCTATCTTCAAACATACCAAAGTTGGTATTTCTACTAAAAACCATTTCCGATCGTTCAGTTATATGGCAGCTATAAGATATAGTCGGCCGATCGGTATGAAATTCGGTAGGTCGGATAAACTGACCAAAAATATAATCTGTACCAAGTTCCAGCTTTCTATCTTCAAAAACAAAGTTGGGTCATTTCCGATCGTTCAGTTATATGGCAGCTATAGGATATAGTCAACCGATTCTAATGAAATTTGGCACGTCGTATTATTTTTCTAAATATCATGTGAAATTTGAACTCTCTAACTCTAAAAACACCCAAGTTATACCATTTCCGATCAATCAGTTATATGGCAGCTATAGGATATAGTCGGCCGATCCGGGCCGTTCCGACTTACTGCGTGCAAAGGAAAGAAGGGTGTGTGCAAAGTTTCAAGACGATAGCTTCAAAACTGAGAGACTAGTTCGCGTAGAAACGGACAGACAGACGGACCGACGGACAGACGGACATGCTCATATCAACTCAGGAGGTGATCCTGATCAAGAATATATATACTTTATAGGGTCGGAGATGTCTCCTTCACTGCGTTGCACACTTTTGGACAAAATTATAATACCCTCTGCAAGGGTATAAAAAACACGAAAGGAAAGCTAACTTCAGGCGGAGCCCGAAAATATCTTAGAAAAAGTAATATAAAATATCTAATAAAAAGTCCCAAGCTTCAACAATACCAAAGCTGGTATTTCTACCAAAAACCATTTCCAATCGTTCGGTTATATGGCAGCTATAGGATATAGTCGGCCGATCCTTATGAAAATCGGCACGTCATATAACATTGCCAAAAGTAGCTCTCATGTAAAATTTGAACTCTAAACCTCTCTAACTCTAAAAACACCAAAGTTATACCGCTTCCGATCAATCAGTTATATGGCAGCTATAGGATATAGTCGGCCGATCCTTATGAAATTTAGTAGGTTGGATCAACTGACCAAAAATAGAATCGGTACTAAGCTTCCTATCTTCACAAACACGAAAGTTGCGTCATTTTCGATCGTTCAGTTATATGGCAACTATAGTCGGCCGAACCTTATGAAATTTGGCATGTCGTAATGTTTTGCCAAAAATAGCTCTCGTGTCAAATTTAACTCTCTAACTTTAAAAACACCAAAGTTATACCATTTCCGATCAATCAGTTATATGGCAGCTAGAGGATATAGTCGGCCGTTCCGACTTATATACTGCGTGCAAAGGAAAGAAGGGTGTGTGCAAAGTTTTAAGTCGATAGCTTTAAAACTGAGAGACAAGTTCGCGTAGAAACGGACAGACAGACGGACAGACAAACGGACAGACAGACGGACAGACAAACGGACAGACAGACAGACGGACAGACGGACATGCTCATATCAACGCAGGAGGTGATCCTGATCAAGAATATATATACTTTATAGTGTCGGAGATGTTTCCTTCACTGCGTTGCACACTTTTGGACAAAATTATAATACCCTCTGAAAGGGTATAAAAATCACAAATTCATTTTACAACATCAAAATCCCGGAAATATGAAGACATTCCTCGATTAAAAATTAAAGAACCCTATTTTAGGGTATAACCCCTACCATCAAGAAAACTTATACTGAAACCAAAGCCCAGACCTTTCATGCTGTCGATTTAAAATTTGACTCTGAATCTGAAAATATTTGGCTGTGATTGTGTGTGCGCTCTTGTAGAAAATACTTATCAAATTAATTTCGCTTAAATACTCGTTCATTGTTCAGTCCGTCGCTGAGTTTTTAAAGGGTTAATTGCGAGGGTTAATGTTTGCCTCGGAATCGCAGTGCCTGGGTCGGGGCATGATTGGATGTTCGTTATGTTTTTGTTTGCTTGTTTAACCTGGCCAAAGGTAAAGTCTCGATTTTACAACCCAACGCGAGGGTTGGCCCAGAAGTTTCAAATCGATTCTGAAACGTCTCTTTCTCCGGTCCCGCCCACGCCCGAGTGGCACGCCACACGTGTCCGTTGAGTTGTTCAATTACGGCTAAGCCAAATCCGTAGGACAAACAGCTTTGCCTTCGGCTGCAGCATCGCCTGCCCGGGGTTTCCTGGGAAATCCAGAACGATCCTGTGGAATCCCTGGGAAAAGAGCAACCCTCGAAAAGTCCGAGTCCTTAGAGCTTCGAGTTAAGATGAAAACTAAACACACGCGACTCGCTCGAAAATTGAATTCAGATTGAGAGATGGAGTTTCCCGACTTCAAATCACCGTTTTTGGGTACGAAATATGGTATATACAGGGCACTTCTCACCCCATCAGGCTCTCCATTTCTTTATTTTAATGTTGTGCCTCGATATGTTTGCTCAACAGATTGTCCCGGAAGAGTCCTTGGGGGTTACTCGCCGTAAAGGTAACAATTCGCTTGCCCTTTTATTGGTCGTGCCTTTCAGGGGAGCTAACTGACTGTCGTCTAGGTAGCCTTGGTCCGGAAATTCAACTATACATCCAAAATTTCCAGGTGGCCAATGCTGAGGTGAGGCCTTCCCGGAGAGGATTAAATGAAATCCCTAATATGCATATGTTATTGTAATATGTAGTTATTTTTTTGCAAAACATAGGTCTATTATTTAAGTGGAATTCTATTTGTTGCTGCCAAATGTTACACAATTAAGAGCTACTGGAAAAAGTTACTTCTTTCCCTGTCACGATCTAATTCATCTTTTCAACTTAAATGTCGATATTATTTTGTATTAATAAGTCAAAGAAATTCCCATATTTTCAAAAGATATATCAGGTGGACTCCAGGAATATCTGCTTAATACTTTATTTTCATAAAAAGGGCTTTAAAGTATTTTGTTTTAATAACAGGTATCATCTTGCAACTAAAAATTTTGTTTCATTCTTGATTTACTTTATTCCTAAAGAAACTCTCGATTAGTTACCTAATCTCAAGAGATATGGATATGTTTATATTAAAAAAGTTTTCAACCAATTTTCATTTAAAATAGTATCTAAATATTCCAGGGACCGTAAATAATTATTATTGTTTAGATTTTTATTAAATATACATATTTCCCTGAAATACCTAATAAATAAAATAAAAAAATCTCTTCAAGATCACTCACCTTTGCACTCGTTGGCGTCCTTGGCGGTAGCCCTGCCCCAGGGGCGGTCGAAGTAGAAAGGCTTACACCGCTCGCAGTCCCGCCCGGCGGTGTTGTGCCTGCACTCGCAGTTTACCTGCCCGTTAACATCCGGGGAGCACTTGGAGCCGTGTCCGTTGCACTTGCAGCGCCCGCCCACAGTGAAGTCCGAGAAGGCGTAGTGCAGTCCGTTGAGGCTTCCCTCCGACACTGCTGTTTCCGCCGGTACTTCAATGTTGTTGTCGCTAGGACCTGTAGGCAGGAACGTACTGTCGCTGGTCAGGTCGGCATAGGCCGCCTTTAGAGATAGGAGGGCCTGCGGGTTTGGACGCTGGACGCGGAGGAACACCAACTTGATATCGGTGGCAGTCACCCAGTCCTGCAGCACCGACGAGGAGTCGAGGTCCCGGGCGGAGGGTCGCCCATCCAGGGTGCTGAAGGCGATCCGTGAAGGCTGTCCTCCGGGGCCTGGATGCATAGGGTCACTACAGCGCGCTTCGTGCTCGTTGTGCTTTCCCATCTGGAGGCGTGCCGGGCGGCCGAACATCCGACGGCACTGGGAGCTGTAGTACTGGAAGGGCTGCCAGGTATTCCCGTAGTCGGTGCTCTTGTAGATCACCATCGACTCGGGTCGGGGGGCATGCGGGCAGAGCTGCAGGTTGATATACGTTAGCTCGTACTTTTTGCCCAGGGAGAGGGTGAGGGTGACGTTGTTGCTGCCGTTAGCTGGTATCGGTTCCGACCGCCAGCAGGTCACGTTGTTCGAGTTGTGCAAGTCGGTAAGCAATCGGGAGGGGAAGCTCCCTGCCGGGTCAAGCAAATTGCAGGACTTGCACACCATATCCCGCTCCGTTTCGCGTCCGGAACCGGGGGCGAACTCGCAGTACCGCTGCGTATGGTAGTTTCCGCAGGTGCCGCTGCTTAACACCGGAGCATCAAAGGCGGCGTTCACAAAGTCGGGAATGCAAGCTCGTGGCTGCCGGTCCTTGTCATAGCAGGGATCCTCCGGGACTGATTGCTTCGTATACATATCGTTGGGGATGCCACAAACTCCTGCGACGAGGAGGAGTCCGCAAATCAACGTAACAAGATCACGCATTTTTATCATTAGCTTTTGGTTATAACTTCAAGTTTTAATATTAGGAGACGTTTGGCACTGTGTCACACAACAAAAAATACGGACGGGTCTTTGCCGGCTTTAACAGCCGTGCGCGGAGGGGTTTTTCGTGCGGTTTCGGTTCGGTTCGGGTTGCTAGCGGTTTTATTCGCGTTCGACTCGTGCGGCTTCGTTACGTCGAGTCGGGCTGCTTGTCCACAGGCGACTGTGAGTCGCTCGGTCGCTTGCGTTCTCTTTTTCGTGGTGCGCCGAAGTCGCAAGGTATCCGCACGTGCGTGCCACTATATCTGTATCTGTATCTCAGGCTGTGTATGTACTTTCGATCGCTGCAGTGCATCATGTAGCGCAACATGCTACTGAGAGCCGTGGATGCTTTGTTGCTGCAGTTATTTGTTGCTGGCCACATCCACCCATCTCCTCTTTTACGAAAGAGAGCCGCTCTCTCGACCGCGCAGTTTCTGTTGCGCACTCTGTTGGCAACATTAGTGGTGGTCGCAGTACATTTCTTGGCAACATTACTGCTAGGTGCAGTTTTCCCAAAATCGTATTATTATTTGTATTAATAAATATGGGCATTTCCGGGATATGAATAAAATTTGTTTTCTGAAAATTTTTTTGCATATTTTTTTTTAATTTTTTCAGTTGCTCCCTTTTTTTTAAAGAAAATATTTGGGGACTTGTTTTATTAAAATACAACATTTAAAATTGGGGGGAATAAAATAAAACAATAACAAAAAAACAATGCGTTCCAAACGGTACAAAAAAAAAAATAAGTCTTGACCTTAGCTCGTTAAGTGCGTAATTCTGAGGCTGGTGTGTCCTAGACGATGTCGGATAATTTTAGTTTTAATATACATACATATATATCGGACATAGTTGGTCGATCTTCATGAGAATATTAAAATATAACCATGAAATTGAAATTTGGTAGGTTGGATCAACTAACCAAAAATATAATCTGTACTAAATTCCACCTTTCTATCTCCAAAAACACGAAAGTTGGGTCATTTCCGATCGTTCAGTTATATGGCAGCTATAAGATATAGTCGGCCGATCCTTATGAAATTTGGCATGTCGTAATGTTTTGCCAAAAAATGCTCTCATGTCGAATTTGAACTCTCTAACTTTAAAATCGTCAAAGTTATACCATTTCCGATCAATCAGTTATATGGCAGCTATAAGATATAGTCGGCCGATCCGGGCCGTTCCGACTTATATACTGCGTGCAAAGGAAAGAAGGGTGTGTGCAAAGTTTCAAGACGATAGCTTTAAAACTGAGAGACTAGTTCGCGTAGAAACAGACAGACAGACGGACAGACAGACGGACAGACGGACATGCTCATATCAACTCAGGAGGTGATCCTGATCAAGAATATATATACTTTATAGGGTCGGAGATGTCTCCTTCACTGCGTTGCACACTTTTGGACAAAATTATAATACTCTCTGCAAGGGTATAAAAATAGCATTCATACAATCCGAACTCTGTAACTATAAAACACCAAAGTTATACCGTTTCCGATCAATTAGTTATATGGCAGCTATAGGATATAGTCGGACGACTAATATACTGCGTGCAAAGGAAAGAAGGGGGTGTACAAAGTTTTAAGTCGATAGCTTTAAAACTGAGAGACTAGTTTGCGTAGAAACAGACAGACAGACGGACAGGTTCATATCAACTCAGGAGGTAATCTTGATCAAGAAATTATATACTTTATAGGAAGATGCATTTATATATCGGAGATGTCTCCTTCACTGCGTTGCACACTTTTGACCAAAATTATAATACCCTGTGCAAGGGTATAAAAATTAGAAAAAAATGCTTGGGAGATTTCAACTTTGGATGAGTATTCCAAAGATATGGTAACTGCTAGATGCCAATTTTTAGTTTGAGGTGGTATACATAAATTTCAAAAATGATATGTAATTCCATATATGGCTAAATTTGATCCATTTCTTCTTTAGGTGTACCGCGTAAAATTTGGGTGATGAAATATCATTGAATCCAATATTATTTAATATCAATATTCAAAACAGCGAGTTGGCCAATAATGGAATCAGAAAAAATACCGAAATATTTTCTTAAACACCAAAGCTGTGCTATTTGCGATCGTTTAGTTTGAGATCGGTGTAATATTTCTAAATCGACTCAGTTCCATCCTTCTAACTTATAAAATACCAATGTTATGTTATTTCGGATCAATCAGTTATACATATTTATGGCTATTCATACATTATACATGATATAAATAGTATAAGTACGAGTATACATATGATATAAGTTATCATCAGTAAGTGATAAATATATTTATGATATAAGTAGTCGACCGATCCCGGTCGCTCAAAATGATACACTGCGTGCAAAGGAAAGAGGAACAAGAAAGGAAAGCTAACTTCGGGCGGAGCCGAAGTTTATATACCCTTGCAGTTAAAACCGGATATATATCGCAAACATCGGATATAGTTGGCCGATCCTTATCTGAATAGGAATATATAATCCAATTTATTACAATACAAAATCTAAAAAAAGTCCCAAACTTCTATCTTCAAAAATACGAAAGTTGATACTTCTACCAAATACCATTTCCGATCGTTCAGTTATATGGCAGCTATGGGATATAGTCGGCCGATCCTAATGAAATTTAGGTTGGTAGGTTGGATCAACTGACCAAAAATAGAATCTGTATTAAATTCCAGCTTTCTATCTTCAAAAACACGAAAGTTGGGTCATTTCCGATCGTTCAGTTACATGGCAGCTATAGGATATAGTCGACCGATCCTTATGAAATTTGGCATGACGTAATGTTTTGCCAAAAATAGCTCTCATGTCAAATTTGAACTCTCTAACTTTAAAAACACAAAAGTTATACCATTTCCGATCAATCAGTTATATGGCAGCTATAGGATATAGTCGGCCGATCCGGGCCGTTCCGACTTATATACTGCGTGCAAAGGAAAGAAGGGTGTGTGCAAAGTTTCAAGACGATAGCTTTACTGAGAGACTGAGAGACTAGTTCGCGTAGAAACAGACAGACAGACAGACGGACAGACGGACAGACGGACATGCTCATATCAACTCAGGAGGTGATCCTGATCAAGAATATATATACTTTATAGGGTCGGAGATGTCTCCTTCACTGCGTTGCACACTTTTGACCAAAATTATAATACCCTCTGCAAGGGTATAAAAATTAATGCGTTGGCCACTTTTCACTAAAATGATATTATCCTCTTCAAGGGTACACTTTAAAAACTTTTAATTTTATTTATTCAGCCTAAAATATATGGTGTTTCCTTTTATACCCGGTACTCGTAAAGTACAAGGGTGTATTTTAGTCGTGTGAATGTATGTATGTATGTAACATAGAGAAGGAATCATCTCCGACCCCATAAAGTATATACATACATATATGTATTCTTGATCAGCATCAACAGCCGCGTCGATATAGCCATGTCCGCAGGGCCGTAGCTAGAGCCTCGGGGGCCCTGGGGCAACAAGTAAATTTGGGGCCCCCTATACGGAAGTCTTTTGCCCCGGCGGGGCCCCTTCCCTTCGGGGGCCCTGGGGCACCGCCCCACCTGCCCCATGCTAGCTACGGCCCTGCATGTCCGTCTGTCCGTCCGTCCGTATGAACGTGGACCCAGAGACTATATGAGATAGAGCTATGGGATTTGGCATTGAGACTCCTACAATACCCACGCAGCTCAAGTTTATTTCAAAATTTTGCCACGACCTCTCCTCGCACCCACAAATAGGGAATTTCTGTATCGCCGGTACAGGAAGGTTTTAAAAAAACGTTGATGCCAAACCTTTTCTTTAGTTAATATATATCTGAAAATCGATTTTTGAATGAGACACCCATATATATACCTATACAAACATGCTAAAATTTTGAACGCGTGGATCTTGAAGACTACCAGAGATAGAAGTATCCGATTGGAACTGGGATCGTATGATATCCGCGCCGATCAAGTTTGACTCAAAATTTTGCCCCCAAAACAGAAACCGTTTTTGGAAAATTTTTTGATGCCAAACTTTTCCAATAGCTAATCTACACCTACAAATCGCAGCCAAATAGGATCATTTTTGCATGAGTTATAGATTTTTTATTCTGCTTCATAACCGAATCGGTAGTATGGCCGTTGGTTTTTTGTTTTTGTTTTGCCCAAACGCAAAAGTATGCAACAAAAATTTGATGCTGAGAATCCATTCCTTTAAAGTTTAAACTAAAAGGTTAGAGTACCGTTTATAATATAGTCGGGAAACTCGACTATAGCCGTCCTTTCTTGTTTAAGTTAAATTGTAAAACGTACACACGTATGTACACTATTCCTAAAAAAAATGTTCGTAGGCCCCATATAGTTTTTCGACTTTACTGAAACCCTTTTTCAAATTTAACCAATAAACACATTGTATTTAGGCAAACAAAACTCTGCTTTTTGCCCATAAAGTATTGTTTTTACCCTGTTTGTTGACTCTGGCTACACAGAAATTCAAAACAAACCGAAAATCTCGGAAGCCACTCTCGTCAACTCCCAGGGGGGATAAGAATAACACCCTTCGATTGCTGGCGTCTATATTATCGTCCTTTGATAATAATATAAAAGATAATAATATAAAAGACAATAAAAAGATATAAAAAGTTCAGACTATATATGAAAAATTCTCCAGAAAGGTCAACCACAACCGAAAAATTCAAAACCAATGAAAGTATGTTATTTTTACCTTTTTATATAGACTCTATTTTATAGAGAATCAATAAAATTTGACAAAAAAAACAATTTTAATAATTTCATAATTTATATTTAATTTAATTTAATTTTTATATTTTGTGTATAAAAATCCATTTTTTAAATATTTATAAACATATTATTTATAAATATTTATGTTTATATAACATAACATATTTTTAAATATTTTAATGCAAAGTCGAAAAAGTGCGAATGTTCACCTTTTAAAAACATAGGTTTTGACATTCAAGATTATATAGCATTAAAGATAAAGCTAATTTTATAATAATGTCCCATAAAAATAAAATAATGCCGTTTTGTCTTATTTTCTCTTTAATCGACGTTTAGACACAAACCAAAGCAATATACCATTTATATCGATAGTTTGAAATTAATGAAGTTAATTCTGAAAATAAATAAAGGATTCAATAAAATTACTCGTATTCACTTGTACCTACCTTAACAGTAAAAAAAAACCAGAAAGAAAAGCTAACTTTGGGAGAAGCCGAAGTTAATATTCCCTTGGAGTTAAAACCGGATATATATC